TTCATTTATTTAGAAAATCATCAGGCAACCCAAGAAAATATCTCGAGACCCCCGGGGGTTCCCGACCCCAAGGTTGAGAACCACTGATTTAGTAGAATGGTCAGATTTAAATATAATGAAACTTAAAGCAAATTATATAATATTCCATCAATGGCCGTGTAAATGAATTACTTCATTAGAAAATATGGGAATAGGGTAATGGACAGAAAACGTCAGCGTGAGTCACTTGTGATAGAGAGAGAGAGAGAGAGAGAGAGAGAGAGAGAGAGAGTTCAGTCTCTCTCATTGACTCACTCTGTGTGTTGTCGGACCGCTCAGCAGCTCTCTGTGTCGCTCTGTGAGTATTAACCTTCATCACACGTTATCATTGTCCATATTAAGATCGTGCTGTTGTGTTATGTTGTGATGTTGTGTGTCAACAAGCCGCCGCTCTGCTCGTCAGTTAGTCCGGATGGTTGTTCTTCCATCTGAAGCACCGATCGCTCCGCTCTGCCCCGGTCTGAAGTTATTTACCGCGCGCTGTTAAACTAAACCCCAAGGAGGGAGGAGCGGGTCTTATATCATTCAGATACATACATACATACATATATATATATGTATATATATATGTATGTATATATGTATATATTACAACATCATATCTTTGGATATAATATTACATTAACTTGTGGTAGCCTAATTATGTATGCCAGAGGTGGAGCAGATTTCAAGTATTTAACACACTGTTAGACAGTTAAAATCGCGTTTTATTAATTGATCATGTTGTTTGTATGTGAAGTCTTTATTTGGGGAAACAGTACAAAGTCCAGTACTTTATTTTGAAATGTAGTAGCAGCAATAAGTAGCAGAAATAAGAAACAGCCTGCTCAACAAAAATACAAGTAACTATCTGAGGATGGAGCAAGAAACTGTCTGTGTCTGATATTCACTTAGTGTAGATTCATTTTAATAACATGTGTTGGCTGATCATTAACAAGACACGCTGATATGTTGGAGGTCATTCACAAACACAGTTGTCATTTCGTGGTTCGTCCACCAGAGAGCACTGACTAGTGGTGCAGGTAGTGTGGCTTTTAAATGACATCCTGATGTTACAAGATACTTATGCATTAACAATATTTCTGACAATATAAAACTCTCAGGGTGTTTTAGAGGAGCAGAGAGTCAGAGCTGTGGCTCTTTTTTTAACACAACTCACTAATCATTGATGCAAACAGATGTCTGAGTTCAGCTTGGGGCAACCGTTCAGCTGGTGATTAACAGACCAACTTCAACCTGCTGTTAGATTATCCTCATACATGCTAAATATAAGTGTTAAGCCATTTGTATGAAGGTAAATATGATGCAAAATGTGGGAGCTGGTAGAGCAAAAATCTGAAATCATATCGTTTAAATGTGACTGGTTGAACCAATCAGAAATCAGAAGGTGAAGTGCTCTTTTGCTCTGACACAGCAAGTCATGAAGTTTATTCCCAAAGCTAACTAAAGACTTAATCACTGCCACCAGACCTAGTCCTTGTAATGAGTAGTAGCACAATGAGAGGGGATATGCACGTTGTACTCTAAAGTCTCATTTGAAGCCTCTGAAATCTGAAGATTGGTCAGTATTTACGCTAGTCATCTAGCAGCATTTTTTGTCTATACGTGATACGGATAAGGTGGTTTTGGTAGTGTGCGTTTTTTTTTAACTCCTTAATCACAGCACTATACCAAAACAAAGCTTTTGAAAGAACCTTACCCTGACTTGATCCAGAGCTGATCCAACTGTGTAGACACAGACAACAGCAGAGCAGAAGAGCGCTTCATCTTCTGACTTCTGATTAGTTTTCAACACATTTACGACAACAAGTTTTGCAAAAGTCAAGGTGCACAGATTGGTCACTTTGTGAATTAGGGAAACGCATCTGTGAACCTGCAGTGACCAATTTGAGGTTGTACTGGAAAAATGACCACAAGTAAAATAAATCAATAAATGAATGACTAAATGTTACATAACAAGTTGGCAGCTGTCATTGTATTTGTGTTAATATCAATCTACACATTTGTGAATATTTTTGCTAGGACTTCACAGACAACAGATGTGTGAATCTTTTCTGAGTGAAAATGTCAACATACAAGATCACTTTTTTCCACAAGCTCTAACTTCAAATTCAGTTTGTGTGTGTGAATATTTTATATAAGTGACATTTCAAAGATATGAGTTCAGATTTACCTTCATACCTTTTGTCTCCACTTTCCACTAAAATCTGAGAGGATTTTTCCTTTTCCCTGACGTGCTGCTCTGATTCATTCTCAGGAAGTGAATGTTTGAGATGATGATGGACCTGAGCTGAGTCAGATCCTCACACGTCTCATCTCATGGGCAGTTCAGTTACTGGATGACACAGTGTGTGGCCTTTACTGTGTGATGTAGCCCCCTGATCTTTAAGGTTCAAGGATAGGTTTAAAGTCACATGTCCACATATGTTCATGTGTAGGTTTTTGTCACTGTAATTGTTTTTCCTGTTGATACTGACCTCAGAGACATCCCTTCTTAATGGAGGATAAAATCTACAGTCCTGGCTCTGTGTAAAATGTTTTCCAAAGCTCTTGTTTGAGATTTAATCTGTCTGACAAATCAACTGACTATTTTCCACAGCCTTTTACTACAAATTTCCCTTTTTGTGTTAGTGTTCCTCTGCGAACAGTCCGCTGAAGCGTAAAGAGGGAGGAAGAGATTTCTTTACAGCCAGTGTGTGCAGAAGGATTAAGCCAGTAACTGTATATATGGCCATGTGGATAGTAGTAGTATTAGTATTAGTAGTATTAATAGTATTAAGATACACCTGAAATAACTGTGAACCTGTCCTTTAATGTTATCAAACCTCTTACAAATGATAGAAGTTGCTCTTTTCTGGAAACACAGCAGAGCCAGCAGCAGGAACATGTTGCAATATTATTAAAACTTTTTAATCACATTAAAATGTATACTGGTAGTTTTATGAACAGCAGAATTTACACATTCTATAAAAGCAAATATAAGGGATCCCCATAGAAAAATGTTTGTTATGAGCATATTTAAACTGTACGTAGGTGCAGTACTCAAAGGCCCTGGAAAGACATGTTCTCAGTCAGTTAGTGCTGCACTGCTCCATGAACACAACATTTTCTGTATTTACCTTTTTGTCTGCTCTGTGTTGGATAAAGCTAACGTCACATATGTTAATGCACCAGTCAGGGTTTGCTAAAATTATATCACAGTTATGATGTTGTTTGCTCATGTTGCCAGGCCAGTATCAATCAAATGTGATCAAACCAAACCACACAGTCCTGATCAAACAGATTATTTAGCAATCAAGAACATAACATACAACATAACATAAATACTTAAAGGCCCTCATAGTCCATATAATCTAAAGGTCAATGTCCATGTGTTGTTTGATTATGGATCAGGTCTAGGTTCTATATTAATACTGTGAAAGTATCAAAGTTCAGTCCACAGAGAAATGCACACAGCCTGTATTCAGAAACTGAGCCTTAAAACCAACCGTCAGGACTTCTGGAACTTTGTGATGTCACAACAAAAAACTCAGCCACGCTGCAAGCCCCACCCACCTGGACCTTGCAGGATTTGTTTTCTCTGAGTGTTTTCCTAAAATCTGCTGTTTTCATTGGATCACTCAGAAATCAGTCAGCTAATCAGGAGAAAGGCTCAGAGCCTCCTCTCTTCTGATTGGCTCACCAACCTGTTGTTACTAGAGCTCCAGAGAGAAGCCTGAGAGAGGAGATGTAAAACTACACTGAGATGGTTTTTGGTTCTTAAAACTAAAATATATACTAAAAATATATCTTCTGATGGATCAACACTCCAAATAAAACACAGGAGAAGAAGAAAATATGGAGCTTTAAAGGGACCCTGTAGAGGTTTTGACCACTAGTAGCAGTACGAAGCAATGATTGTAGAAGGGCATCCCCATTTTTATATGTATCATGCACACACACACACACACACACACACACACACACACGCACACACACACACACACACACACACACGCACACACACACACACACACACACACACACACTCCTGTTGCCTGTTTTACATCATCCCCAGCTCCTCCTGTCCACACGTCAATGGGTCCTTAAGCAACTGCCCAACTGCCCATCCCAACTACACAACTCAAAATGTGTCCAAAGAAGAAATGCTGCTCTGTTGCTTTGGACAAATGAATGGGATGTAAATGTTGTGTATAGTGTGTGATGTTCTCCACATTTTAAAAAATAACCACAAAGGAACCATCAGTGGATGTTCCCTGACACTGGTGATTGTATGGAACCATTACAGATCATTATTTGAACATTTAATGGGAACCTTGAAGGGGATTTTACAGAAATGTGTCCAGTTTAATTTAGTGAAAGGCAAAGTCAAGATGACAAAGAAAAAGAGGAAAGTTTATAAAAATATAAAATGTATCAATTATGTCATATTAGAGAAAATTATTATAATAACACAATTAGTAACACTAAATAAAATACATAAAGACATTAATGCATAGAGATCCAGAGTGTTCATTCTCGACCCTGATTGACAAAGTGTCTAACTGGACACTTCACAGGCAACATTATGTCTGTGAAAGAGAAACAGAAATCAAGACAAAACAGTGGAACTTACAGTATTACAGAAACAACACAACACACGTACACACACACACACACACACACACACACACAGAGAAGGACAGATAGAGAGAGACAGCAGCAGCATCAGCACCACTTCACAGTTTACACCTCAGTAATCTCTGTCCTCATGGTCCTTCTCTTCCTCTCACAGATATGTTTGTTTTTCCTGCAGGGACTCATCTTCTCCTCTTCTTCTTCTCTTTGTTTCTTCTTCTCTTCATCCTGCCTTCATCCTTCAGCTGCTGACGTCAGTGGAACATTTCAATCTCCTCTGATATTCAGGTTAATCTAATTATGAAGATTTCCTCTGAGACGCTTCTTCGTCAATGATGGCCAAGATGGAGACTCCTTTCTACCACGACGACTCTCCCGCTGTCTCCGGCTACAGCCACATCGCTGAATACGAGCGTTACTCTGGAAACAAGATGCTGATGAGTAAGAAGGCCATGTCAATGGCGAGCAGTCATCACTTCCCCGGCGGCGGTGCAGCAGGAGGGAGGGGCGGGAACCCCAACAACCTGGGACTTGCCGGCAACAGCTCCCTGATGACATCGGCTGTGTCCTCAGCAGCGTCCTCAGCAGACATGAACCTGCTGAAGCTGGCATCCCCCGACCTGGAGCACCTGATCATCCAGTCCAACCAGGGCCTGGTCACCACCAGCCCGGTGCCCAACTCCACTAACCCCTTCATCTACCGCAGCCAGGCCACCAACGAGCAAGAGGGATTTGCTGACGGTTTCGTCAAAGCGCTTGCAGACCTTCACAAGCAGAACCAGCTGGTGGGAGGTGGCCCCATGTCCCCGTCCTCGTCCTGCACCGTTTCCTTGCAGGCGTCCTACCAGAGGAACCTGATGTCCAGTGGTGACATGCCCGTATACACCAACCTCAGCAGCTACAACCCGGGACAGATGCCATACTCTGGGGGGCAGATAGCATATGGTGGTGGCTCAGGTGGCGGTGGAGCCCCTCAGCCGCACACCCGAGGCCTGGACGCCCCTCAGACTGTCCCTGAGGTTCCTCACCCACCAGGCGACCCCATGTCCCCGCCCTCCCTCTCCCCGATCGACCTGGAGACACAGGAGCGAATCAAAGCGGAGCGCAAGAAGCTCCGCAACCGCATCGCCGCATCCAAGTGTCGCAAGCGGAAGCTGGAGCGGATATCACGTTTGGAGGAGAAGGTGAAGGTTCTGAAGAGCCAGAACTCAGACCTGGCCTCCACCGCCGCCATGCTGAGGGAGCAGGTCGCTCAGCTCAAACAGAAGGTCATGAGTCACGTCACCAATGGCTGCCAGATCGCCGTCAGCTCAGCTGCCGCCACCAAGTCTGGAGGAGGAGGGGGAGGCACTGGCAGCGAAGACTCCAGCTGCTGAGCAGACAGGACACACAGAGAACAAGCGAGAGATAACAAGCGATTTTACATTTTTGGCATTTTACTCATGCTCCTGGTCAGAGCGAGCAGAGAGCGAGCGACTCAGTGTCAACGACGCCTCAACTAGACAGATGGATGTTTAATGGGATTTACGATGCCTGACAGTGAATCACAGTCAATCATCCACCCAGAGGACGCAGAGCTGAGAGGAGACAGAGGGGATGAATCCCTGACGTGAGCAATGTTTAAACTTTGGACCATTTTGAATTTTGACTGTGAATATTTAAAGAACAAATGGAAAGGGATTGAATCCAGAGACTGTTCAGCAGCAGAGTTCACTCAGAGGTGTGTGTGTGTGTGTGTGTGTGTGTGTGTGTGTGTGTGTGTGTGTGTGTGTGTGTGTGTGGGTGTGTGTGTGTGTGTGTGTGTGTGTGTGTGTGTGTAACTGTGTGTATGTGTGTGTGTATGTGTGAAGAGACACGATACATTTATTTGATGGCAGTTTCCAGCTGATGACAATATTCTTTATTTTCAGATCTCAGTAAATAAACTGTCCTGGAAACAGAGGAAACAATTTTCCAGCTCTTATAAATATTTTTATTTATAGTAAAATGTCACTGAATCAGAGTCAAGAGGATTGCTCATAAAACATGATCAAATGAATATCAGTGAAGTCAGTAATCTATGTGGATGTGTTGTAATCAGACTACTATCTGCAGCGCAGTTTTCTACTTATGATTTACACTAATCAGAGTTTTCAAAGAGACATTTTTAATATAATGTTTCAAAATCCAGCAAATGCCTGATTCCAAAATGGCCAACACTGCACTTTGTTTGGTAATCTGATCACTTTAACCTTCTTACTTTTATTTTACTATAATCTAATTGTGTGTTGATGCAGATGAGTAACTGTCAATTTACAAAACTGTCCAGCTGTGTGGTGTTTCAGCCGACGTCTGGTGGAACCTTCTCTCAGTTTTTCTGGATCTTTCTGGGAACAGGACTGAACGAAAGGTTCAGTTTAAGATCTGCCAGCGAGGACATCTACATCTGGTTTCAGTTAAAAGGAAGAAAAACCGGCGCATATTTATTTAGTCTGTTTTCAGTTTGAAAAACCAGATTAATGAGGTTGAATCTCTCACTTTTAACATCTGAGTATTATTTTTTTATATTTTTACTCTTCAACAAGTAACAAAATTCTGATGTGAGGAGAGAATTTCTCTTAAACTCCACAGCCGCTTCAGATTCTCTTAGATAATTCAGATGTATTTGACTGATTATTGATTTATATTTTCTGCAGCAGGAGAAACAACATTGTCAGTGTCACTGTGAACATAAAGTGTTTCATTCTCTCATATCTTATTCTCATTTCATAACAACACTGAACAAACAAGATATGACTGTTGAATAATATTCATTATTCTGATGATGATGTTAATATGTAACTCCTTTACTCTTTTGGTTTGGTTGTTTGCAGGTAAAATAGAAACCCATTTCTAGCCTCCATCTGCAGTATTTTACCCTCTGGTGGTGACAGGCTTCCACAGCCTTCTAAAACACAGAATATGGTTTTATGAAAAAATAATCTCAGTGGAATCAAATGTGTTTCGCCTGCTTTAGGAAGAACACCATCTTCAGCATCTTCAGGATTCATCTGAAATCACTTGATATATTGGATATATTTTCACAGTGTGAAGCTAAAAGCCCCGTCTGTCTCTTGAATGTACATCAAAATGTATATGAGGAATAATCACTCAGAACCGAGCAGGTGTGACAAAAAAGAAACACTCTGGGGTATGTACATTTATTTGAAACTAATTATCGCTGTGGAGATGAGGTCCTGGGTCATCTTCTCATCTTTGAGGAGGTTGTAGAGGTCCTTGAGAGAGTTTCTTAGGTCCTTCATGGATTTTCTGAGGTCCAGTAGGAGAATGGATCTTTGAGGAGGTTGTAGAGGTTGTTGAAGGAATAGTGACGGCCTTCAAATGGGCTCCTGTGATCCTGGGGGAGCTCTTGAGATCTTTGAGAGAGTTGTGCAGATACCTTAGGGAGCTCCTGGAGAAGGTTGTAGATGTCCCTCAATAAGTTCCTGGTGTCCTTGAGAATGCTGTAGAGGTCCTTGAGGATTTTGTAGAGTTCCTTGAGTAAAATAACTTCTAATGGAGCCTGAAACATCAGTCGTCATGGTTACCTACAGTTTAAGAAACTGTAACTGTAGTTGTGACTGTCGACCTTAAATTTGTTTCACATGTCCACATGTCTCATTTTAACAGATACCTGACAGCCAATCGGAACTCATGGTTCTGTGCTGTCAGTGCATTAAAAGAGCGTTACTCTTTGATAACCGCACACTTTTGGATGTTCTTAGTTATAGTAAGTTATTTGTGTGAATACACCTTAGATATACACTCAGTGAACACTTTATTAGGAACACCACACAACAGTGTGTAGTTCCTCAGTTCTTCATGTCAGGGATCCACCAGATGTTGAAACTTTCTTCTGAGACTCTGCTCCATGTTGACATGATGCATCACAACATTTCTACAAATGGTGAACTGTGGCCATGAAGGATGAACATTGTCAGTAACAATACTCAGAGAGACTGAGACATTCAGACCATGATTCATTGGTATTAAGAAGAGAACATTCCCCACACCATCACATCACCACCACCATCTGCTGCCTCAGCACAAATCAAGATCCATCAGACCAGGTCTTCAGCTGTCCAGTGTCCACTGCAGCCTCAGATTTCTGGTCTTGGTGACAGGGGGTGGAACCTGACGTGGTCTTCTGCTGTTGTAGTCTATCCACCTCATGGTTGGACATGTTGTTCATTTTTAAGGTTCTCTGCTCAGCACAGTTCTAAAGACTGGTTATCCAAGTGACCGTAGCCTTTCTGTCAGCTCCAACCAGTCTGTCCATTCTCCTCTAAACCTCTTTTGCTTTTGTTGTTGCTCCATTCTGAGTAAAAACTCTAGAGACCGTTGTGTGTGAAAAGCCAGGAGATCAGCAGTTTGAGAAATTCTCGATCACTGAGTCAAAGTGACTGAAATCAGATTTTATACTCATCCTGATGTTTGATGTGAACATTAACTGAAGCTCCTTACCTTGATCTGCAGGAGTTTATGTATCACACTGCTGCCACGTGATTGGCTGATTGGATAACTGCATGAATAAGCAGGTTTACAGGTGTTCCTAATAAAGTGCTCAGTGAGTGTTTATCTTGAAAAAAAAATCAGATTGGGTCTTTAATATCTAAGCACTTATTCACTTAACAAAATCTAAGGTAAATAAGATGTTTAATGCAGTGTGTTAATTGATATTTATTACACATTGTCATCCTTGGAGATAATGTTCCCTTCATATTTTTGGAGTTTTTGTTTTGTACTGACTTTACTCTCCAGTCAGCATGTCTATATCATGTTACAGTTTTAATATTACAGAAAACATATACCTGCAAATAAATAAAACAAACAAGTGAGCAATAAGAAAATAAAAAACAAACTAAAGATCCACTACATCGGACATCATACTTGTGGATGAAAATAACATTTCAGTTGCAGTTGCATGTTTTCTGACATTAAACATGAGTGACTTAGTGAGAGTCAAGCAAATATTTTTTACTTGAACGAGGCTTTTGACATCTCTAATGATTCTATTTTTGTACAAATGTATAATAGTTGTTATTAATATTCTGAAATGTGCGTGTACAATCTGATTTCATCAAACACTTGGTCTCTATTTATTATGAATATCTTTTGTTATACAGACACGTTTGTGTCTTTCACACTGTTCTACTGTGTTGAGATGTTTGTGTAAATATATCAGTATTCACCTGCTACTGTTTTGCTTCTTTGTTACTTCATGATTATAAGGTCTACAGGTTTATTCTCCTGAACACCTCGCTCAGGCAGGACTCACTGAGCAAGGGATCAAAAATTAACAAAAAAAAATTGATAATCTGTCAAATTTGGGGATTACTTTGATTACACAGTACATCATACAATTCCTTATTATGAAGCTTCCTGGTATTGTTTTTACTGTAAAATTGGACACTGGACAGAACCAAATGAATCTTGATATAACCTTAAATAAAAACCAGCATTTTTTTACATTCTTACTATTAAGTCATTATTGTAATCACAGCAAATATACTTGTGTATATTTGTGTCGGACAAATAACATACGAGTAACAATGAGTGTGAATCAGTGTGGAGGTATTACATCCTGAGAAGGGAGAGGATCAATAAACATGTCTGCAGACAGTGTGCTGCATCTTTATTGAAAACGACTTTAAATATTCTAATCTAAAATAATAATAAAAAGCTGCTACTTGTAACTTCAAATAGCCATGGACCCATTTGAGACAACTGGCCTCTAGACACAGAATGTGAGAGGCTCCTCAAACCTCCAGACTATGTCTGTCTTTGTTGTTCTTTGCTTCTTAAACAAGAAACAGGAAAGTTACAACATACACAAAAATGTGAGTATCTACTGAAGAACAAGTGCGAAACCAATAAGGAATAACCTGATAATTAATGAGTTGTTCATGTGTAGCAATAGAATAAGTCCAAACTGACTTGATGAGTCAGTAGAGAAGGTGGAGATAGAATCATTAGGTAAAGATCAGTTCATAAGTATCTGTGAAACAGAGAAATTACCTCTTTAAAAGTTGTTCCTGATTAAATCTGAATCAGCCGCTGAGCTGCTATTAACGACTCATTCATTACTCATTCCTTACTCATTAGTTACTCTTTATGTGCACCCCCCAAGTAAAGTGACTCAGTAGTCACTTATTGGTTCATGACTATCTAACCATAATCCTTTTGTGCATCATGGTTTCATATATATGATGCTGATGAAAACTATAATACTTATAAGCTACCTTCCTATCACCTCCTTGGTAGGGTGGCAAGGAAGTGGTAGGTAGGTATAGCTAGCTATATATATGTATAAGTATGTATGTGTGTGTGTGTGTGTGTGTGTGTGTGTGTGTATATA